GCCCATGGCCAGTTTTTACATCCTACACTTTCTGACTGTATTTTAGAAATTAATTAGAAAATATAATTTCATAGCAAAAATATATAAAAATTTCTATAAACATTGGGTAAAAAAGTAAGACATCTTTAATTTAAAGTGTTATAATTGTAGAGAGCACTCCTACCTAGAAATAAAAATTAACACTTAGCTCTGGATATTGTTTCTATAAAAAAATTATTTCTGTTAAAACATGCGAGCGCGCGCGCACGCGCACGCACACACACACACACACACACACACACACACACACCCCTTCTCTTCCCCAAAACTCAGTAAATGGTGCCACCAGCCATTGGGTTGACAGTTTTAAACCTGATTCTTCCCACTGAGACTTCAACTCTCACTACTCAAATGGAATCAGTCACTGAGATCTGTCAATTTTACTTTCTAAATAGTCTAAATGTGCTACTACCTCTCAATCCTCAATGTCATTGCCTTAAACCAGATCTTCATTAGACCTGAATTATTGCAAATACTTCCCAGATAATCCTCCTGCCTCAGGTTTCACAGTCACCCACATGCCTCCAGTTATCTTTTCTAATACCCAAATCCATGAGCAAGGCCAGCGGTACAAAATAAAAGAAACATAAAAATAGAAATTAAAAGGATACTATAAGGTAAATGTTTACAATATATTACCTAAGAGCAAGAGATAATAAATAAAATTGTGTGTTATGTGGTAATATGTGATCTGGAGAAAAATAAAGCAGAAGAGGGCAGAGGGTACTCCCAGGCAGTTTCAATTTTATAGGATGTTCAGGGAAGGCTGAAGATAGAACCGGTCTCTGAGCACTATACAGTGAAAACTGTGGAGCAAGAAAAGATGAAGGCTGTTGTAGTTCCCTAGGCAAGAGGGGTTTGTGATTTGGACCAAGTTAGTAGCCAGCGAGGTTCTCAGAAGTAGAATATGCTGATGGATCTGTAGCATGTGCAAAAGAAAATTCAACAATTACTTTAAGGATTTATGCTTAAGAAATTGGAAAAAATGGAGCCATTAAGAACACTTTTCGAGAGTAATGTTTCTGAATAGGCTTTATGATTTTGAAAATAGTTTGATACCGTGTTAAATACATTCAAAGAGGGCATTTACTGTGGAAAATATTGCTCCAGTACATCTTTCCTTAAGGTTCAAAAAATTATAGTTTATTTTACAAACACACAGTGCTTAGATATATGTCAAACTCTATTCCGAATGCCTAGTGGTAGGTAATTTTCTTAACCCCATATTATCGATGAGGAAGCTGAAGCACAGGGAGGCCTGTACACCTCTAAAGCTGTATATCGAGTCTATCTTCAAATCCTGACCTCTTTTCTTTGTCTCAGATATTTTTGTATCTTACTATTAAAATAGAATTTGAGGTTCTCAAAGCTGATAGTGGTGGGAAGTGCAGATGACAAAGAGGCAGGAGAAAACTTCTGGGGGTGATGGATATGTTTCGTATCTTGATTTCTGTGGTACTTACACAACTTGATGTATTTGTGGAAACACAATTGTGAATAAAAAGAGTGAATTTACTATACATAAATTATACACCAATAAAACTGATTTTAAAAAATAATCTAGCAAATATCTTAAATCGACACATGTTCGAAATGTGTATATTTTGTCCAAATGTAAAGTGAATCTCTCATATTACAAAATTTGTTCTAACACTTTTTTTTTTGATTAAAGCAATGTTCTTCACATCATCATCCAACAGTATTTGCTGACAAAGTAATACATTTTTATATGTTTCCATATAATTACTCTTGTATGATTTCAGCCATGTTCACAACAGGAAGAACTAGGGTGTGTCCAATGATTTATCATAAATTTAGTGGAAATCTGTAAATGACTCAATTGACTTTAAACATTGTTGAAAAACCCAGAGAGGTTTGCATTTGTGATCCAAATGTTGTTATTAAGAATTTTGCTATTCTTGTTGCTGTGTACTATCATTAACTTAAACTTTAAGACAAAATATGTCTTTGGGCAAGTTTAATCACTTATGATATGAAAGACAAAGCCTATTTCACAATCTTGATTATTTTAAATTTTAAGCTAGCTCCTTAAATGTGAGATTAGCAATGTTTATGTCCTATACTAAATCTGAAAAATATTCTATAATAGAAGTTAGTGAGATTTCATATCATTAAAAAATTATTTGATTTATACATATACACATCAACAATCTTGATTTTATAATTTTTATTTAATACTTTATAAGATCAATTGTCTAAATATGACTAGTCTGGTTAAAACTGACAACAATTCCATTAATGTACTTATCCAAACATATGTAACATCAGTACACTAAAATACTCTTAAAAATAAACACTGCCGTCAAAATCCAATGAGATACCACTTGACATCCATTAGGATGGCTATAATCAAAATGACAGATGATAACATTTGACAAAGATATGGTGACACAGGAACACATACATTTCTGGTGGGAATGTAAAATGGTGCAGCCACTTTATAAAATAATTTTGAAATTTCTTAAAAGGTAAAACATAGTCATTATATGATCCAGCAATTCCACCCCATGTATGTGTCCAAAAGAAAGGAATACATATAACTACACAAAATGTGTATATGAATATTTATAGCAGTATTATTCATAATAGCCCAAAGTATAAAAAACACAAATATCCATCAACTAATGAATAGATAAACAAAATGTGATATATCCATATAATGGAATGTTATTCAGACATGAAAAGAAATTAAATACCAATTCATCAACAAGGGTGAAAGTTGAAAACATTATGTTAAGTGAAAAAAACTGATATGAAAGGCCACATACTGTACAATTCCATTTTATAATAAATTCACAGAGGCAGAAAATATATTATAGGTTGCCAGGGGTGGGGGAGGGGAAGTTTTCTTTTAAGAATGATAAAAAATGTTCTAGATTAGACAATGGTGATAGTTGCACAACTTTGTGGATATACTAAAAACCACTGAATTGTACACTTTAAAAGGATACATTTATAGTATACAAATTATATCAATTAAAAACCAAGGAAGTAAACCCTGTCAATCATTTGACACTATAAAAATCCCTATGATTCCTCCAGAAACTTCATATTTGGGGGCCTGCAGTAGTCATTATATTAAATATTATGAGGTTTTAAGTATTCTTTTTTTATTTTCTTAATGAAAATAAGTATCAGGGGAGGTTTGGAAATTTTCTTCTCACAACCCCCTGGATACCACTATGCACTGGAGACATCAGGCTGGAGAATTAAGCTTTAGTATGGCAAACCTGATATTTCATGGATTGTTCCAAACCTACTTTTCCAAACCCATCACTTAACATTGTCTAATCACATGCGGCTAATCCTTTAGCCACACTAGAAATACTGATTCTTGAATGGCCATCCCTTGCTCCTATATATGCTCTCCTATATAAGCTCTTCTATTGGCCTGGAATGCATGACCTCACCTTCCCTGCCTCAACAACTCCTCAGTGAATTTCACAGCTTTCATGAAGATTTCAAGATCCTCTACCTAACGTGACCTGCTCCCTCTCACCTTTGTTTCTTTAGCAGTTTGCCATTGATTCTTTTAAAATATACATAATAATTTCTATAAAGCTTCAATTTCTCACCATCATTTATACTCTTCAGAGCAAGCACATCTGTCTTGCTTGGCTTATAAGAAAGAAAAGAGAAAAAAAGAAAAAGAAGAGAAGAGAAGAGAAGAGAAGAGAAGAGAAGAGAAGAGAAGAGAAGAGAAAGGAAGGAAGAAAGGAAGAATAAATCAGCCTGTTTTTGTAAATTTAACTTATTTATATCACTAAGTACCAAAAAAAAAAATTCATTTTCAAGTCAGAAACAGAATGTCTGAAAATTTGTGTTAAGGTATAAATAAGCTAATAAATACAAATAAAGTAGAATCAATCATATCTACATTAGAAAGCAGGAATAATATTAATTGTTTTCATTGTGAATGAATGTGAAAAAGAAAGCAGTGATAAAGGTAAAACTATCTAAAAAAAAGGAATATCAATCAGAAAATTTAGTGCCTACAAAGACAAGTGCAATGTGTTTATAGTCTAAGTCAATCAGAGCCTTAGAGAACAAAAGACTAGAAAGTCTTTGGAAATAGATTGATAATAATTTATAACACACACTAATTATATCAGTAATTCAAAATGAATGTGAATTACTTTAATATGAAGAAAATAATCTAGCTAATATATCTAATTTTAGGCTGTGTATTAACTTATATTCTAGACGTTACAAAGTCACTTTACAGAAATTAACTTCAGTAACTTCAAAAAGAAAGGAAATTCCAATTTTACTGTTGGTTGACTACTATAAAGGCCTATTTTGCTTTCAGATGATTTGCTGAAGATGATGCACATATGTGTACTGGACCAAAGGTATTTTCCTTGAGATCTTTTCTGTTGTACACCATAAATATATTTGCGATAAATAAAAACATTACTTCAGAAAACAATTTATCTTAAAAAGCTTGGAGCTATAAAATGAATATATTTTATTTCCTAATAGTCACATTCACCATCATGGATATGTAATTGAGAACAAATCAGATAAATTAAACAAAATTGACTGCGATAGATTGTGTTAGTATACATGAACCAATTAAAAGAAAAAACTCCCAATAGTTATTCAATATTAGATATTTAAGGTAATAGAGCTATCTGCCTTTCCAAAGGGGTAGAGGGCCACTAAAATTATTACCTTCAGTAGTTCATTTATTTTTAATATAGCCAGTCTTTATGTCTTCACAACAGCAAATACTTTGAACTATATTAGTTACATATTTGTTCACAAGAAATGTCAATTTATTTTCCAAAAATATATAATTCCATTTTAGTAACTCATTAAACGATATGATGAATTTTCAATATGATACTCACAAAAAATATACTATATTGAATATAAATATTTTAAATACACTTTGAAATTACTAACAAATGGATTGGCAATAATAATCTACTAATTACCTTAAACTGCTCTTCAGTTGCTAAAAATCCATGTTTTTTTTCTCCAATTTACTGAACATTTTAACATTTCTGTAAAAAAACACAAACAGACATTTAATTACATGCTGAAAAAATACTTATTTTTATGGTTATAGTTGTAGAACTATTTGAATAGATATATTTCTTATTGTTTAAAGTGTATTTTTTTCCCACAATGTTTGGGCTACAGCGGAAAAACCATGGTATAAAAAAGAAATTCAATTTCCCTGTGACACATTTTCCTCCACGATCTCATTTACTATAATGTTCATTGCTAAATGGTAATAAATTTGATATGTAAGAAATATAAATATTTTCTTAATTAAAAGAACACATGAATTTTTAAAATATATTTTGAGATTCCCAATAAATTTTCTGATTTCTTGTGGTAGGCACTTCAGGCTATCTAAGAATGTGTCTAATTACTTTTATTATTAGAGAATTGCTGTGGGGAAAAAAAAAAAAAAAAAGCTGAGAAACTCTTTAATACATTTTTCTACTTAATCATACACACATATACACACATTCTCTGTGCATTTATGTATACATATTGAGACTAATTATATTAATCTAAACAAATTTAGATTTTAAAAATATTAGAAAAAAATAATAAAAATATGAGTTTACTTAAATGGTACATTTATGGAGGGTTGTCTTAGTTTTCTTTAAATCATCATATTTCTTTTATTATTGAAAAAATAAAATGCCAGATATTTAACACACACACAAAAAAGAAAGTATAATGTCCTTCAAAGTATTTCCTTGGACATTTCAATGTTTTCTGATGGTTTTGCAACTTGTCATATCAATTTTTGAGCTTTCTAGTGTATCTAAGTACTTTATACAAGAATCAACTGCATTATTTAATTATTATGATACTTAGTATTTATTATGTTATTATTAGTAGTATGCTATTTGTAGGAGTTAATTAACCATATATATGCCATAACAATGACAAAATTTATGATCTATTCTAGAGTCTTCTCTCCAAATGGATCAGGAATTAGATATGGTCAGATGGTGATTAGCATATAATTATAATTGAGTTCTTTACAGAATACTATTGATTACCATTACAAACATACATACATACATACATACGTACATACATATTTTTATATATTTATATTTGTGGGAAATATTTACTTAAAAAAACACTATATTTTGTTTGAGGATTTAAAAATGTTAAAGCAATGAAACTTACTGAATTTTTTCTACAAGTGTCCACCTATATTTGGCCAAGTAGTGAGATTCTGTACCAAAAGATCAATCTAAGTCCATATTTGAATGGCATGTTTGACTACTTAAACAGGCAAGTGAAGGAATTTTTTTAATCGACTTCTTGAATTTCCTGGACGACCATTCTTTCAACGCATCTAGCATGTTCCTTCAATAATTATTGGTTGTTTACATGAGATATTTTTCTCTGGTTTTTGAAGAACAAGCATATCTGTTCTTACAAATTATTTATATATATGAACAATCATGGATAATGACAGCACAGGCTCACTTACCAATATCCTTGCCCTTTAGAAAATTTCCTCCCATTTAGGAAATATATTTTGAAATCCAAACATTATTTCCACAAAGTTTTCTGATACCACCAGACCCACTCCACCACAAACAGAAACAATATCTTCTCTGATACTTCCATACCTCTTTACATATTTTTCTTTTTCGCTAAACTCTGATCTATAATGTGAATTGCTTGAGAAAAGAAACTGACTACTTCAGTTTACATTACTCCTCTTTAAAAAACTAAGCACTTCATAGTGCCTTAAAAATGCTGACTGGGTAGACAAAACATTTACATTTTTTGTTAAAAATATTTATTGAAAAGTGTCTATATTGGATTCACATAAATTGAGATCAAGAAACATTATGTGTCTTTGAATTTGTTTGTATAGTTATCTTTACAGGTCCTTTGTTTTTTTCTTTTTGTACAAAAAAAAAAAAAAAAAAAACCAGAAAATCTTCGATTTTCAGTTTGGCCATTCAACATCTCAGTGCTTCACTCAATTATATCCACTTAAGACCCTTAAGTGTTAGTAGACAACTAAAAAGAAAGAACTAGTTACAGAGAGTCACTTAGCCTCTTAAGAAGAAGGAGGCCAGGTCTGAGTGAAAACACAGGAAAGGAAAAGAGAGGTAGACAATAGGAAGAATAGAAAACCAGTCAGGAGAATATATCATATCAAGTGATACTGTACTACTAGGACAAAGTAATAAGGTAAATGTCTAATTAGTAAACTTGATCTAAAAGAGATTATAAAAAAGAGTTATTAGAATTATATTTTGAAAGAAAGCACTAGCAGAGGATATAAAAATTTGGTGTGTTTTGGATGAAAAATAATCCATACAAGTATATTTTCATATTATCATTACTGTTCAAAATGACATAAAAAGCAATTCACAAGCAATTAGTATTACAATTCATTTTTGCAAATTAGATGCGAATATTTTGGTTATAAATAACAGGCTGCTTTAATTAAAAATTAAAACTTAAATTATTGCACATTTTAGATAAAATCTTCTAAACAAACACATACATAAGACATAGAAATGGAGAATAAAATAAACAATAAAGTTTGATTCACTGTTTAAAAAAAATGAATACGTGAGAGTCCAAGGAAAATTTTCTAATCCTGACATAGCAAGTTTAAAAAGTAGAGAAACTTCATTCATTCATGCTTTCGTGTATTCATTTCATTATTAAATATGTACTTAGTAATCAGGCACTATTTTGGTGCTGTGTACTCAGGAATGAACTGAACAGGAAAAAATAAAGCACTCAGAAAGTTTACATTTGCATTCTCAATAAGGAGTAAAAATAGAATATAAAAAGAGGAGACTTTATATTCTTCATTTTTTAAAATAATTTTTAAATTTAAGAACTTTATTCTTGAACACTTTATATTCTCATTTAACCTTAATTTTTTTAAAAAAATTAAACTTTTCTATTATATTATCACTTACCTGTTACAAAAATCTTTTGAGGTTGTTATGAACATTATCTTCTTTACATTACAAATAACTATTCTGGGACACTGAGGAATAAAGTCAGAATTTATGTCTCAAATTCAGAATCTACCCCCTCAAGTGTCTCAAATAGCATTATAATGATTGTTACTGTCCAAATTTGGTAAGAAGATGTTTATAATAAATGGCAGAAAAGATTATTAAAGTAAATTTTTCAGGAAATAATCATCTCAGAATTCCATAACGCTAAATATTATTAGAATGCACCTCACTTTCACATTCTGATATTTAAATGAGATTACAGGAAATCCCAGTAAAAATTAGTTCAGGAATTAAGATAAAAACTTATTTTATGCATAGAAGAAAACATAGGAACTAAACTCAAGGACCTTGGGCTTAAAGAAGATTTTATGAAGTTGACCTCAAAGGCAAGGGAATTAAGAGCAAAACTAAATGAATGGGACTACATCAAACTAAAAAACTTTCATTCAGCAAAAGAAACCCTCAAAAAGGAAAAGAGACAACGATCTGAATGGGAAAATATATTTTCAAGCAACACCTCCGATAAGGGCCTAATATCTAAAATATACAAAGAACTCATACAACTCAATAACAACAACAATAACAACAAAAACAATCCAATCAAAAAATGGGCAGAGGACCTGAACAGACACTTCTCTCTAGATGACATACAAAGGGCCAACCAATATATGAAAAGATGCTCAACATTGCTAGCTATTAGAGAAATGCAAATCAAAATCATGAGATACCATCTCGTACCTGTTAGAATAGCTATAATCAACAGGACAAGCAATAATAAATGTTGGAGAGGATGTGGAGAAATAGGAACCCTCATACACTGCTGGTGGGACTGCAAATTGGTACAGCCACTATGGAAAGCGGTATGGAGGTTCATCACAAAAGCAAGAATCGATCTACCATATGATCCAGCAATCCTTCTACTAGGTATTTACCCCAAAGACTGGAAAACTCATATTTGAAAAGATATTTGCACACTGATATTCATAGCAGCATTATTCAGAGTGGCCAGGACATAGAAGCAACCAAAGTGTCCTACAATAGATGATTGGCTAAAGAAGCTGTGGTACATATATACAATGGAATATTACTCAGCCATAAGAACAGATGAAATACAGCCATTTGCAACAACATGGATGAATCTTGAAATAACCATACTAAGTGAAATAAGCCAAACAGAAAAGGTTGAAAATCACACGATATCACATATGTGGGATATAAACCTAAAAGCAACAAATGAACAGGACACACAAGCAGAGACTCATAAACATGGACAATAGACTAGTGGTTACCAGAAAGGAGAGGGGAGGAGGAGAGGGAAAATAAAAAAATAAAATTAAAAAAAAAACTTATTTTACTGTCTTTGTATGCCATTAATTCCAAAGTTATGTGACATATCCTACAGAACTGTCCAGTAAAGTTTCATGAAACAATGAAAAAGTTACATGTACAAATATATTTTTAAAAGATCATTCTGATGTCAGTTAATAGATGGTTTGCAGAATAAAATGACACTGATATTTTTTAAAAGATCAGTAAGAAAGAATTTTTTTTTTAATTTTAATAAATTAGAGAAAACTTTGTAAGAGAAATTTTATCTGTAAGAGTTAGTCCTTAAATAATTTTTAGAACTAAATAAATAGTTAAATATCAGGTGCCACAATTTTATTATCTGTAAAATGAAGGGTATAGCTTTCAAATCTATCATTTCGAATTATTAGGAAGATTCCAATAACAAAATATGAGATAAAGTGCAATAGACGCAATTAAATTTATGACATTCTATCTCCACAAGTTTACCTAGGCCTTCAAATGTTATTATTTTGCTCATGATATTCAAAATTATTTTTTTCAATTATCTTCTTTCAGTCTCTCTCAATCTACTTGTCTATGGGTTATCTTCAAGTATCATCTACTTTCATTCCTTGTTGATATCTATCATCATGCACCACCATATTATTATCTCTACAAAGTGTTCAGATTTGTTTTTCATCTCATTTCTAATACCAAAATCTTTACAGCCATGTGAGGTAGG